AAAAATGGTTGAGAAGTTAGAGGGTTGACATGTTGAGGGGTTGTTAACCAATGTCATAAAACAATATGTGCACTACTGTTTCATGAGAAACTATTTGTTCTGTGAGCCTCCATCTGAAGTACAATAAAAAAAAAAAATCGTCTACAAAAAAATTAATAATAATAATCACTTATACTAGCAGCGTGCAGTCCTATAGATGCCCAGGGCCTGGCCTCTGTAGTCTAGTGGGTGCTTCATGGGCTGACATGCAGTCTACAGCCGGTGTCGTACTTGCCTGTCGGAGAGGTGCTCCAGCTTGAAGATGTGCACAGTCTCGGTGTTGCTGGAGGCACAGAGGAACTGCGAGTCCATACTGAACACCAGGGAGCTGATGGTCACGTACCTAGAAACACAGCAACATGGGGCCAGTGAGCCAGACAGTGAGGGCGCTGCCTTAGCCCGCACAGGTGAGCTTTCTAAGGAAACTAAATACATCCCGAGGAGTGCCTGGTACTCTAAAATCCCTTTAACGTTATGTTATTCCTATTTAGAAATTCCAACCCATTGCTATCAAGTCGATTCCAACTCATAGCGACCCTATAGGACAGAGTAGAACTGCCCCACAGGGCTTCCAAGGAGAGGCTGGTAGATTCGAACTGCTGACTTTTTGGTTGGCAGTCAAGCTCTTAACCACTGTTCCAGCCAGGCTGGTGCGATGGTTAAGAGTTCAGCTGCTAACCAAAAGGTCGGCAGTTTGAATCCACCAGCAACTCCTTGGAAACCCTATGGGGCAGTTCTACTCTGTCTTATGGGGTTGCTATGAGTTGGAATCAACTCAATGGCAACAGATTTTTTTTTTTTTAAGAAACTAACGTCAGAAAGATTCATAAAAGGTCAAGGCCTCGTTCTAGAAGACAGAAGCAGTACACAGCCCTTCCTCTCAGGGGGCTGGAGAGAAGACCTGCCCCTCACTGTTATCTTGGAAGTCTCTCAGCAGCTCTGTGCACCATACAGCTGCAAACCCTGCAGCTGATAAGATCCCAAACAATCACATTTTGTTGTTGGCTGTCACAGAGTCACCCTCAACTCATGGCAACCCCATGCACAACACAACGAAATGCTGCCCAACCCTGCGCCATCCCCATAAACGGTTGTGGACTGGACCGTTGTGATCCACAGGGTTGTCACTGGCTGATTTTCAGAAACAGGTCATCAGACCTTTCTTCCTAGTCCATCTTAATCTGGCAGCTCTGCTGAAACCTGTTCAGCATCAAAGCAACACACAAGCCTCTACTGACAGATGGCTGGTGGCCGCACATGAGGTGCGCTGGCTGGGAATCGAAATCAGGTCTTCCGCACAGAGATGAGAATTCTACCACTGAACCCCTTTATTGCCATGGAGGGGAATCAGGAATTATTTGTGGACTGTGACCCTTAGGTCTCTGGTTTCTCCTTTGCCAGCCACTGGTGCCCACATAACAAAGGACTCTCAGGGCTGAGTTCCCCCGCTTAGACAGCAACTATGCTCTCAGCTTTATTAAGCACTAAATGGGGCGTCTAAGCCAAGTACCTGAGAAAGTACAGTCACACTTCCTCGAGGTTCGAGGAGGCATGGGACCACCCTCTGTCCTCGCCCTAGGTGGCTGCCAGCCGTCCACCGCGGGAGTTGTGTGAGTGCTTTAAAATGGGTTTTACATTGAACACTGACCTTTTCATCCCTCTCCGGAACTCATAGAGCTTTTGCCCGTCAGGTACCGAGAACACCCGGATGACTGTGCCCTGGAAAAGAACGATGGGGAACGTTTCAGAACCACGAATCTCTCCACAGCGCTCTGCCTTTAGGGAGAAGCTTGTGTTTTGGGTTTGGAACATCTGTCTCTGAGAAGGGAACACCGTGTCAAGTGTGGAGGGTTGTTATTTGTGTATGTGCCACATAAGCAATTCTTGGAACATGTTTTAAACATTCTTCGTCTCCCCCCTCCCTCCACACCCCAGCCCAAGGCTGCGTGCGCGCGTGTGCTCAAACTGCTCTCTACCTTCCTAGACTATCCAATCACAGTCTGTCAAAATACACCTGCTTTTCATGGCATTGGAAATTCAACTTGGTCACCCTCTGTTCAGTCCCGTTGGATGAGATCGATCTTTCTGCTCAACAGCAGAGCATTTTGTTTATATGACGTTTATGAAGCGCAGCATCCTTGTGTATCTCTGGCTGATCTGCATGCACATTTCTTAACAAGAGCACAGGTTTGGGGGCAAAGTCTCTTGCAGTATCTGGTGTCGTGCAGGCCTTGGGTCTGTTGAGTTAGGGAATGATCGTACACCGCGACAGGCAGGGGCCACTGTCACTCTGAAAAGACTCCTGAGTGGGCCCAGAGACCAGGCAATCCTCAAATTGCTGGTTTCACCCCCTCAGATGTTTGGGCACTGCCAGAGCCACCCACCAAAGTCCCAGAGAGGAGAAGCGTGGACGCCGGGGATTTACGCTCACCTTTTCCGACGCGCTCGCTAGTTTGGAGCCCGAGGAGTTGAAGGCAATGGCAGCCAGCATCCCCTCGTGGGCAGCGATAGTGCAGACTGTTCTCTGCCGGTGGAAGGAAACAAGGATACTGATGCCAGGGAAGAGGGAAGATGGACTCCACCTTCCTCATTCGTTCTCTTTCTTTGGAGACGCTCTTCCGTATAAGCTGTGCATCCTTGTCTGGTGGGTCAAGACTTTGCTTCAAGGGTCACTCCGTTTCTATCCTCCTTCCTGCCCTCAGGGAGGTGGACACCCACCTGTGTGCCAAGGCCATGCGAGGCCAAGGGCCCCCCCCGCGTGTGTTCTCGGGGCTGCCACAGCAGTGCTGCCCTGCCCTGTGCCGCCCGGGAGGCCAGGGGCAGGACGTGTGAAGCAGCCGCACGACCCGGCGCAGTGCGACACAGTCAATCAGACAGTCGGCCCTCAGCTGGCAGGGGGTTTCCATTCGGCAGAGACGCCCGACTTAGGCTGGCGCGCCACCCCACTGTTACGCTGACGGATGGCGAGCCCCGGAGCAAACCCCATTTATACACGGCCATCCCCTTTTCCACGCCTGCCGCGGTGGGCAGAACCAACTCCCCCTCTGTCGTTTACGCCTCCGCACCTCCCCACAACAGCCTCCTCGTGACCTTCCACCAGCCACACGGTCTAGGAGGCGGCCTGGGTCACGTCTGGACCACTGTCAACTTACCAGGGAGTTTCCATCGTAAAGCACAATCTCCCCTGTAGTCAGGCTACCAGGATAGGCCAAGTAAGAATTGGAATGGTTGATAGAGAGGGCACACAGACCTGGCAAAGCAAACACAGGAAATGTGAGTCGGAATCGACTCGACGACAACAGGTTTGGGGTTTTTTTTCAGGGCAGTGAAATGGCCTGGTTGAAAAGGGCACCTGAGAACAATACAACTACAGTGCCACCTACTGGTGAGGGGAGGAATGGCTTCCAAGACATTTACTTTCAGTGATGATGCTAATCAAAGGATTTCAATAAAGTACATTCACAGGGGAAGATCTCATACTGGCCTTGTCTCCCGGCACCCACGCAATCAGAATTTAGAATATTAAAAACGCTACTCCAGGGCTCTGAAACAACGCCCGCTTCGCTTCCGGTTCCACTGCCCTCTAGGGCTCCAAGAGAATTTACTCATAACTGGAATAAATAACTCTATTGTCCAAAGGTCGGTATCTGTTAGCCTTCCTGCAGGTGATTAAACACAGTTGACATGCAATTTCAAACTGGAGAAAAGTAAGTGGGGAGGAAAGGCCCTATTTAGACATTGCTCATTTCTAAGCCAATTGGCCTGCCTGGATGAGGAGGCGGGACCTCCAGAGTGGAAGTTCCTGTCAACTCTGCACCTGCCGTGGAGGTGGTGGGCCACACCACGTGTCCACACCACAGTGACAGCAGTGTGGGCTTAAGATGCTTCGACAATACTCTGGGAGAGTGAACAGCCGCTGAAGCCACTAAACCAAACAAAAGCCATTCTATGTATAAGAAGATCTCAGGAGGGGACTCTCAATAGCATTTGGATTTCCACAACAATGGCTTAGGCTAACAGAGGTGTACACATGGCAGTGAATTCAAGGAATTCCATAGAACCAACGCACTCACTAGAACAGGAACTTCCAGAAAATTATGCGAAGACAGCTTTTTTATGTGAGATGTCTTGTTGTAAATTAGTATGCTTAAGTGAGTTTCTTATAAAGGTAGAGGAAAACATATCCAATCAGGCTGAAATGTACATTACTTGATCTGCTGGGGGAAGGGCAGAGAAACAGAAAATCACATGTTCACAACTAGAACTAAGTCCTACCTCCTGCCATGGCTTTGCTGAGCACACAGCCAGGGCTGCCCTCTCATCAGCTGCCATGCAGACCTACGGGACGAAAGTCACTGAGCCCTGGTGCCCCTAATTGCGTGTTTTGGCACCCCTGCAGCCCCTTTGTATGTTCAAGGTTGCTCCTGGTCCTGGCCTTAGAAGAGACCATTTGTTCCTTCCCAGTTTTGCTCTGGGAACCCTAATTCCCCATCTCATCTTTGCAATCCAAATGTACTTTCAAGAAGAACAGATAGGCAGACAGGAGGCATTCTGGTCTTGGGAAGCTGGGGAGGGAAGACAATCAGGAGACTGGGTTGGCCCACATGGTGGCTTCCCATCAGGGCAATCAGTGGAAAGGATGTTAAGATCAGAATGGGGCAACTGTGGCAGGATACGAGTGCCACGCTAAGGAGTTAAGGTCTTATAATGTAAATGCAGTGGGTAACTGCTGAAGGTTTCTCAGCACATATATCTTTAAAAAGGCAGCAGTAATCAAAACCACAATGACATACCACTTCACCCCCACTAGTATGGTTATGGAGCCCTGGTGGCGAAGTGGTTAAGCGCTCAGGCTGCTAACCAAAAGATCAGCAGTTTGAACCCACCAGCTGCTCCTTGGAAACCATATGGGGCAGTTTTACCCTGTCCTATAGGGTCGCTAGGAGTCAGAATCAACTCAACAGCACACAACAAGTATGGTTATAATAAAAAAGATACTAAAAAGTGTTGGCGAGAATGGGGAGAAACTGGAACCCCCATACACTGCCGGAGGGAATGTAAAAATGGGGCAGCTGCTTTGGAGAAGAGTCTGGAAGTTCCTTAAAAGGTTAAGCACAGAGTTACCATATGACCCAGCAATTCCACGCCTACGTATATACCTAAGAGGAATGAAAACATATGTCCACACAAAAACTTGTACATGAATGTTTACAGCAGCATTATTCCTAAAAGCCAAAAATTGGAAACAACCCAAATGTTCATCAACGGATGAACGGATAAGTACAATAGGTACATCCATACAATGGGATATTACTGGGCAATAGAAAACAAATGAAATACTGATACACACTCCAGCATGGATGAACCTTGAAAGAAGTCCCAATAGACAACATATTGTATGATTCCATTTATCTAAAAGCTGCAGAAAAAGCACATCTATAGAGACAAAAATACATTAGGGCTGGGGCCTGGGGGTCTTGGGGATGATGGCTAAGAGGTGGAGGGTTTCTTTCTGGGGTGATGAAAATGTTTAAAACATTTACAAAATGTTCTAAAATTGATTGTGGTGATGGTTACACAACTCCATGAACATAACTAAAAGCTACTGCTTTAAATTGTACAGAAAGTGAATTATATTTCAATAAAGCTGTTAAAAACAAAAGGCAGCACTTTAAGAATGTTCATCTGGCAGAGACAGGCTGAGGGGACCTGGGTTCAAGACTCAGGCCTGCCACCAACCATGCAGTTCTGGCTGGGTTCTCTGGCCCTGCCAGGCGTGTTTCCTATCTGTGAAATGAGGGGCTGCAGTGGTCTAGGGTTCTTTCCAGCTTTACCATTCCAAGATGCCAAGTCTTCACTGACTTGCTTCCTTCCTTTGAAAACCTCAGGCATATCTTTGTGGCAGGCTAGGAGGCCTTGGGGCAAATACTTCCAGTTGCCCCTCAGAGTTTTATGTTGAAGTGTAAATATCCTCGAAAGTAGTAACGGCTTAAACTTTTTAGACAACATCGAACTTTCTGTAATACCTAATGTAGGATTACATGGCACTAGATTTCTACAAGAAAACGACAAAGGGTCACGGCTAGGACAAGTGTATTCTGACACATACCACTTTACCTGACAGTTCTGCCTCAGGGTTTGAATCTCTGCCAATCCAACTGAATTTAGCCAAGGGATCCTGCTCACCTACCCTCGCTCGCACACTTAATAAAGGTGCTCAGCAATGCTTCACATGGGTTCCTTCTGGTCCAAGTCTCTGACAAACCAGCTAAATGACGTATCTTTGTATCTTGTGAAACGCCCGAGGAGAGTATGGAGACTTTTCTTCAGGCGCAGGTGTCACCATTCCACCTGTGTTCTGTTCGTGTCACAGGTGTCACAAAAACCCTATCTTTGGGAGGAAAAATGGACCTTTTCTTTATTATTTTATAATGCAAAAGTGATACTATAGAAAATGTACAAAGCCAAAAAACATATAAAGAAAGAGAAAAAAATCATCCATAATTCTAAAACCCAGAGGCTTTTACCGCTTTCAACACTTGGACATATTTTCTTCCAGTCTTTTTTCTACATAGGAGTTAGGTTTTGATGTGGCTTTCGGACTTGTCTTCGAATTGACACATATTTTCATAAATCACTGCCAGCCATAATTTCACTGGAATTGTTTGGCTGTAATTCTTCTACAGCAAGAAGTGTGTGCCATCGAGTCAAGAAACAGTGGCATCATCAGCTGGGATTGGAAGGTGATCAGGACCTGTGATTCTAAATCACTCTCATCTTGGTATTTATAGCATTACATGCCAAACATAAAACAAGTTAACAGTGATTTATAAAATGCAGTTCCCTTTGAGTTGATTAATGTCTCAAAATGTGTTTCCCCATTTTCAAAAAGAGAAAGGAAGGGTATCTCCTCTGTACTGCAAATACCTCGTATTCCTACAGGTCAAGAGGAGCCCTAGTGGTGCAAACGATGAAGTGCTCAGCTGCCAACGGAAAGGTTGGCGGTTTGAACCCATCCATCAGCTCCATGGAGAAAGACCCGGTGATCTGCTTCCATAAACGATGACAGCCAAGAAAACCCAATGGGCCAGTTCTATTGTCACATAGGGTTGCTAGGAGTTGAAATCGACTCAATGGCACCTAACAACGACAACTATATTTGTAGTGCTTCCATTTCCAGAAAGGCGTGCTGGGGAATAAACCATGACTTTGTCCTTCTATACACACTGCTGTGTGGGAGACGTTCTGTAAATGGTTGCAAAGGTCTATGAATCTCTGAGTTCTGCAGTTGGGAGATTTTTGATGAAGATTCCACCCTCAGCTGCTCCATGCATAGACTGCTGTGACGGCCGGAAATTAGCTCTGAGCCTTGTCTGGCCAAACTCTTGAAAGGAAACAGCCTGCAATCTTTGACACAACAGGAATGAGCATGACACAAACAAAGACAAAGGGACGGAAATTTACAGCTGCATTAGATACTGGGCGCCAAGCAACGGGGGAGCTCGGGATGTCTAATTTATTTGTAGTTCACTAAGTCAAAATACATTCACGATTTCTGTTTCAAATTCAATTAGGTCAGTATTCTATCTTCCTTGTGTACCCACTATGGATTTATAATATTAAGAGCCAGGATTTCCATTTTATATTTTTGTTCAGAAAAAAATAAACTAGAGAATGAGAATAAATAAAAGAGACTCAGTCTCGACGCGATAGCAACTACCAACAACAACTAGGCATCCGATGCGGGCATTCGTGGTTCAGCGGTAGAATTCTCGCCTTCCGTCCAGGAGACCCACGTTCAATTCCTAGCCAGTGCATCTCAAGCGAAACCACTGCCCGTCTGTCAGTGGAGGTTTGTGTGTTGCTATGAGGCTGAACAGGTTTCAGTGGAGCTTCCAGACTAAGAGAGACTAGAAAGGAAGGCCTGGCGATATATCTCCAAAAATAAGCCAATGAAAACCCTATGGATCACAACGGTCTGTTCCACCACCGATCGTGGGGATGGCACAGGACTAGGCAGTGTTTGGTTCCATTGTGCATGGGGTCTCCATGAGTCAGGGCCAACTCAACAGCCGCTAACAACCCCAACAACTAGGCATCTGAGGATTTTATTTTCATGGTTGTGACAGGTCATGAGTCCTTGGAAGGTTCTGGAGTGAGGAACTGGTCATGTCACCGCAGCACAACTTTGACCTCTGTGAGGCTGCCCTCCAGCATGTACATAGCAAATGTGTCTTTTCTCTCATTCACTCAGCGTGACCTCAGTTACTCCTCACCATACTATCTCTGTGGGGTAAACATTCTCATCTCCATTTTACTGAAGAAGATAGTGAGCTAAGTATAAGTCAAGGTAATAATTATAAATGTGAGGATTTGGAGAAGTCTTGGGTTATCTCTCCAAAGAATGTCAAAGGTCTAATAATACACATTTTGGTCAACCCTGCTCTGGTTTTCTGGAAGAAAACGCTAAATCTATCCTTGAATCCATTCATGATGCTCATCTGAGATAGAGAAAACCCTTCCATTGTTTTTCTTTTCTTTTTTAATTTATTGTGCTTTAGGTGAAAGTTTACAGTGCAAATTAATTTTTCATTCAAAAATTTACACACAAATTGTTTTGTGGTATTGGCTGCAGTCCCCACAATGTGTCAGCACTCTCCCCCTTTTCACCCCGGGTCCACTGTTTCTTATTTATTCTTGAGAGAAAAAGTATTCCATTTACAAACACTCCACATTCTAACAATAAAACACATATAGTTCTCACACTTTCAAACCTTCTTCCTGCTTAAACTGCAAAAAGGAAAGCAACGGATGAGTTTTGCGAGCTGACAAAAACAACTCTTATTTGCTAAAAAGTAAGAGTAAATGGGAGGAAATTTCCCTGCTCACACGGCCGGGCCTTGACAGTGGCGGCGGGGCCTTGACAGCTGTGAGGAAGGGAAGCTAGCCGCAGCACTAACCCACCCACTTCTCCCCTGCAGGCACTGACTGTGCCCAGCTCTCCTCTCAGCAAAGACACTGAGAGCCAAAGGCAGCTTATAGCTTTCTGCCTGCCTGGAATGTCCCTCCCCAAATCCATCAAGGTGCAGCGCAGGCCCAGCCCTCCATGAGATCCACTCAGATTCCGCGGCCCTTCTCACAGCCCACTGTTGTTCTTGTTGTCAGCTGCCCTGGAGTCGGCCCCTAACTCACGGCGACCCCATGCACAATGGAATGTAACACTGCCTGGTCCTGTGCTATTCCCATGATTAGTGGCAGTTTGGGCCACTGTGATCCGTAGGGTTTCCGCTTGCTGGCTTTTGGAAGTAGATTGCCAGGCCTTTCTTCCAAGTCTGTCTTAGTCTGAAAGCTCCAATGAAACCTGTTTAGCATCATAGAAACACACAAGCCTCCACTGACACATTGGTTGTGGCTGTGCATTGGGTGCACTGGCCAGGAATTGAACCTGGGTCTCCCGCATGGTAGGCAAGAGCTCTCCCACTGGACTACCGCTTTCCTCTTCACACCCTATTACAACAGCATATTTTCACTTCAGCTGTCCACACCCCGCAGCTAAGGACGGGGTCCGCACTCCACAAAGGGCTTTAGAGCACTTATTTCACAGTCTCAGACAGAGTGGACAGCCTCAGGGAACTAGGGGAGAGCTGCATTTTGGGTTCCTGGTGCGTGGGGACCATATCTGTACCTGAAAGAGCCTACTAAGGTACCCAGCACATAGTAGGTCTTCAGTAAGTACTTTTCCAGATTATTTCAACCTCTCATTCTTAAGATAAACAAAACCCACCACCCACAGCTCCTTGATTTACCATCTACCATTTTGTGAAATATGGTTTCAAAATCATTATCTCACAGAGCTTTATAACGACCTCAACTACTTTGCTCTTGTACAGTATCATTTGGTCAGCGCTGAAATGTTAAAGCACTGAAATCCACAGCAAAGGGCCACCTACAACTGAAGTGAAGAGGAGAAGAGGCACAGGAAATATTTACTCCATGGCAGGCTCTGAGCTGGTCACTCTCACAGACATTACCTCATTTACTTCTCAGCCGAGACCATGAGACAGGTATTACTGTCCCATTTTACAGATAAGGAAACTGAGGCTCAAAGAGCTTAGGTGACTTGTGCTTTGGCCACACAGATCTTGACATTCAGGGAAAATCAAAGAATTAGGAAACTACAATACATAATGAAAGCATTTCCTTAACTCTATATAGTAACCTGTAGCAGTCATTTAAGTTAGGAAGCTGAATTGGAATACACTTTACAAACATTAATCTGAATCATGAGATACATACAATTATTCTGGCGTGATGACTCCCCACTCTCCCAGGCTATGAAGGACATCTTTTTCTTTTCCTTCTACCTTAATGAGTTCACAGAACATCATCATCTGCTATTTCAATCTGACATCCAAATTATTCCCATTCTTAAATGCCAGAACTTTCTTTATTAACCAGTGTTAAATCCCATGAACTGAGTAAAAGTCCAACATCCTAACACGTCAGCCAAGTAGAGACATTTCCTTATAATGTGATAAAACAAACTCTTTAAGGTTCTGATTGTCTTTCTCCTAGTTATGCACGCACCAAGTCACAACCTGCTTCTAATTATTAACCTACGCCGTGCTCCACAACCACAAAAAATAATTAGGGATAAACAAACCCCTTTCCAAACCAGATGCATGAAGTCACCTACAGGGCTATCTTAAACGACTGCACGCATTTGCTGAGAATGGGTCCTAGACGCAGGGGGTTAATCTCAGGCTGTGATGCAGCTCTCCCATGGGACGCACAGCCTAATGCAATTTCAGCCTGCCATCATTCCAACAAAGCTCCAGGGTAAATGCCACCAAGACTTAGAAGGCATGAGCACTGCTTCAGTTTTCGATTTAGGTGGACGACAGTCTGCAGCAAGAGCCCGGGGACCTGAGATTTGGGGCGTGTCTCTCCTGTGTTTGGCGCTCACCTGTGGGGTTTGCAGGGATATCCAGGATGGTCTTCAACAGCTTCATGTCCTTAATGTTGTGAATGTAAATGGAGCCCTCCAGGCACACCAGCAGCCTCTGTAATCACACAGACGCATCAGTCCCCGGACCAAGTTCTGGAAAAGGAACTGACCAAATCCAAACCCCACACCTCTCAGACAAGTCCTACCTGGATTCTAATCCTACAGGAGAAAGAATTTTGATGATGCAATTTATGTAAGATGTATTTGTGATGATGTATTTATGCATGTGCGTGCACATACACGTCTTTCCTTACCTGAACAGAAAATAAGAGATCTGAAGAAATTTTATTTAGAAATTGAGATTTATTTATTTTGTATTTTCCCTTTGCTGAGAACAAGGATTCTGAACACTCCCTGACCAGTTTCCCTTTGCCATTTACGACCTTTTGAGTAGCCTTTCTGACTCCTCTTCCTGTCTGACAGGCTCTCTTTGCAATGTTCATAACAAAGGTCTCCCTCTCACACAGACGGGGCTTCTTTGCTCCTTCTAAAGAATCACCAAATCTTATGCTTTATCCCTCTCCAAATAACTACCAGCTTTAACTTCCTTCCACTCCAACTCCTTCAGACCTACTTTTGTGTCCCTCCCTCCAGCCGTGGAATTCCAGAAGCCCTTCAGCCCCATATGAACATCTCATCCCTGCATCTCCTGTGCGGCCTCCTGCAGGCCCTTGTAGCTCAGCTCCTCTCTCCATGGGCCCTCCTCCCCAGTGGCACAGACCCTTCTCATCCACTTCAGATGGAAATTTGTCAGGTTTACAGCTTCTTTCCAAAGGCCATAGGGGTCCCCGGGTAGTGTAAATGGTTTGTTTATGCTCGGCTGCCACCCAAAAGGTGGCGCCATGGAAGAGAAGCCTGGTGATCTACTTCCATAGATTTAACCCAAACCAAACCAAATCAAATCAAATCTGTTGCCACTGAGTCGATTCAATTCCAACTCACAGCGACCTTACAGGACAGAGTAGAACTGTCCCATAGGGTTTCCAAGGAGTGGCTGGTGGACTCAAACTGCTGACCTTTTGGTTAGCAGCCGAGCTGTTAACCACTACGTCACCAGGGCTCCGAGAAAACCCTAAGGAGCGGTTTTACTCTGTAATACATGAGGCTGCATGAGTTGGAATTGACTCAACGGCAATGAGTGTGGTTTCTGTTTCCCCCGATGGCTATGCTGTCTGCTCAGTGGAAACAGGTCCCAAAGGTTCCCGTGTCAGGCGTTCACAGGAATATAACGCAGTGCCCAGCAACGTGCCCAGCGCCAGGTCCCAGTGAGGAGCTGCTGGGGAAGAACTGTGGGTCCGGTGGCTCCTTCCACACTGAGCAGCCATCCACTCCTCCTGCACGAGGGGCCTGGCCCTGCTCCCCTCTCGCCTGGTGGTTCTCAGACTTTGATGAGCGCCAGGAGCAAGCCCTGGACTCTTCCTGGCGATTCTGGTTTGGGAAGGCTCTAAGGAAGTACCCTGGGTGATTCGGACACCCTGCAAAGTGCGAGAACCACTGCTTCCGGGCCACACCCTTTTATTCCAAGGAACAGCAGTCGGAAGGAAGGGTCTCTAAAAATACTACAAAAAAGCTGCAGGGTCTCTGGGTAATGCTTGCCCTACTGCTTTCCCAGCAAGACTCATCCCAGCTCAGAAAAATGGAGACCAGCGACTTTAGCCAGACAGAAAAATAAAATTGAAACACCTTTCTCAATGTGAATGAAGGCTCTGTGGCTGTAGGTCTCAGATGGGGTGCTGTGAGGCAAAATAATTCTAACAAGTTCTCAAAATTGATGACAAGAAATATTAGTGTTTCTCCACGAAAGATTTATTCTCTGATCACCTGATCACTTTCCCTTTTGCCAGCACTTACTATTGTGGTGGTGGTGACTTGCCGTCGAGTCAGTGCTGACTCGTGGTGACCTTACCTACGAGATAAACCATTGCGCAGTCCTGCATTATCTCCGTGCTCGTCGGTATCTTTGAGCCCATTGTTGAGGCTATTGTGTCAATCCATCTCACTGAGGGTTTTCTTTGTTCGATGACCCTCTACTTTACCAAACATGATGTTCTTTTCTAGCGATTGGCCTTCCCCAATGACGTGTCTTAGTGTGGACTATATTGTGCTATGCTTGCTTATGTTCTTAGGTTTCTGATACCCTCTTGTGCCTCACCCCCACCCCCAAGTCCCCATTATAGGGGTCCACCACATATGCCTACTGCAGGAATTGCATCTGCATCCGGCTTGCTTGACCTGCTCTGTATCTTTTCCCACCAGCTCTAACAGCACCATCGGCTCTCTGGTCCACTCTGCTGGTCTCAGGTTAGCCCACACTAGCTGTAGACAAGGTAAAATGGAGGAAACGTAGAAAACACTGGGAGGGAAGGAGGAGGCACTCCATCTCAAGTTCCTGTGACAGTATACTTCCGGGATGACGGTTGTTGGTTGCTGGTGAGTCAGCTCTGACTCATGGCGACCCCACGTACAACAGAATGAAATGTTGCCCGGTCTTGCACCATCTTCATGATCATTGGTATGCTTGAGTCCATTGCTGCAGCCACTGTGTATTTTGAGTGCCTTCCAACTCAGGGGGCTCATCTTCTAGCACGATATCAGACAATATTCTGTTATGATTCATAAAGTTTTAATTGGCTAATTTTCAGAAGTGGATCCAAGTCTGTCTTAGTCTGGAAGCTCCACTGAAATCTGTCCACCAGGGTGACTCTGCTGGTATTTGAAATACCAGTGGCATAGCTTCCAACATCATAGTAACACGCAAGCCACCGCAGTATGACAAGCTGACAGACAGGTAGTCCCTTGTAATTGTTTTCCTTACCAGTCAGCGTCTTCTCTCGGCAGAACAACAGGCTCACCTTCACTTCAGCTCACTCCCTGTTGCTCTGGCTCACCTCTACTTTTCTAGGTTTTATAAGTAATAGCTCCTTTTATCAGTCTAAAAACATATTTTTAGCTTCTGCCCTCGAGTGCCATAGATTTAGCTTCAGAGGCTTTGATCCAATCAGCCTCCACCTGGACAACGGCCCCTCTGAGCAGCCGGTTAAACAACACATCACGATACATCTGATTTATTGCCTTTATTCCATAAGACACACTTCCTCATTTAAATAAAAGGGGAATAACAGCATCTGAAAATGAAAAATATCATAATTTCCAAATAGTCTTCCTTTCTATATATTTAGAAGAAAAGGTGCACTTTGTTTTCTCATAATTCTGCACACAAATCCTCGATCTTTTCCTGTTTTTAAAAAAGCAGTGCGCTACCTGAGATGCGACAAAACAGCAGGCTGACCACCAGGGAACAGGATGTGCAGCCTGGGCTCTGCAGTGGACCCCACCTGGCAAGGAGGGGTGGCCGCAGTTCCCTAAACCTTACTTTCTAGGACCAAATTTGTTAAGTCCCAAACCTGAAAGCTTTCGGAAAAGCAAACCCAAAACTTGTTTCCAGACGTGTTTCAAATCACCTGCTTCCTTAGAAATGCCAAAGGAAGTGAGAACTGTTAGGCTGGGCTCTGATCAGCTCAGTCATTAATTGCTGGGTAGTTCTAGGTGCACTAATGCCCATTAGCAGACGGGGGATGAGAATCTTAACATTACTGAGTGTCACTGAGAGGAGGAAGACCTCCTATTGGGTGGTGCAATAGTTAACATGCTCACCTGCTAACCAAAAGGTTTGAGGCTGGAGTCCACTCAGAGATGCCTCAGAAAAAAGGCCTGGCAATCTACTTCCAAAAAAATCTGTCATTGAAAACTCTATGGAGCATAGCTCCTTCTGACATACACGACGTTGCCATGAATTAGAATAAACTCGCCGGCAACTGGTTTTACTGATGGGAAGGGCAGCACCTAGAAGTTAACTGGACGCAGACACCAGAATAATACTTCCCTGACTCATTTGTTAATGCAACTATCAGAGCGCAAATGAGGGAGAAATTATACAAATAAATACCATAGACACTATTTGAGGGTTCTAATCTTTGGTTACTATATAGAATATTTGCCGGAACAATTTTTAAGAACTTAATCAGGCAGGAAAAAAAAAGGATATTTAGCCATCATATATCGGCTACTAGTATATACAAAGATAAAAAACTCTGCAGTGAAATTCAGTGTGCTACCGACAGACTTCAGTGAAAGCACTTCAGCCAACAATTTCACTTAAAAGTCTTCAGACAGCAAACTCTCGAACTGTCTTTCCCTCCCTTGCCAAGAACCTGGTTTCTTTTCTTCTTTACTCCTGTTACTCCTCACTCAAAAATCCCCACATTCTGTTTCCCAGCTATTTTCTACCACAGTGCTTTATACAGACTTAAGTGGATACTCAATCAAAATAGTTGATCAGGGTATATACATGCAGTGGAATAGTACTCAGCCATAAAGGGAAATGAAGTCCTGACGCATGCCACAACATGGATGAACCTTGAAAACATTATCCTGAACGAAATAAGTCAGTCATAAAAGGGCAAATACTGGATGATCTCACTTAAATGAAATGAGCAATGATACAGAAACCAAAGATTGCTTATGGTTACCAGGGGTGGGAGAGAGGGGAGAAAGGTGGAGTTTTTGCTTAGGTGGCATTGAGTGTATGTTAAGGGTGGTGAACTATTCCAAAAAGGATCATGAAAATGGTTGCGCAACATGAAGAATGTAATCAATGTCACTGAATTACACATGTAGAAACTGTTAAACAGGTGAACATCTTGTTGTGTATATTTTCACCACACACACACACCAAGACTTGATCAACTCAAAGAAACAATCTCTTCCTTTTCATGAACTTAAGAAAGCACTTTATTTTTTATTTATATATAAAAAATCAATTAGCACTTAATAGTTTAGATATGACGAAAGAAGAGAAAATTGTCCTTAATAAATGCAACAGCTTCCACTTTCCTGGGAATATTTAACTGAATAGATAGATACGCATGGTCATATGAAGAATCTATTTGCTAACTGATTTAAGAGTCAGGAAACATGTTTAATGAGCATGTTCCAGGCACTTCTTTTGTGGGAGGTCCACAGTCGTGAACAAAACTGACACAGCCCCTGCCCTCACAGGATTTAAAATCAGTAATTCAAGGGAGACTCTGCTCACATCCCAAATACTTATTAAATAAGAATTTACATTTTTAAAGAGAATATATTGCATATTTGAGAGAAGAATACACCTTCTTTCAGCAAAGAAAACACTACGAGAGAGAATCTACGAGGGTTAGCTGGGAAGAAGAAGAATGGAAGCCTGAGGCAGGAGGCCTGGCCGGCTAGGAAAGCCTAAGCAGGTGGCACAAGAGGGGCTATTTTACCGACTGGCTTCAGAAGTAACACAGGCCGACCCCATGTTTTCTATTCTCAGAGGCAGTACCACCAGCCTAAATGAAGGCTACCATCTAGGGCCAAAACTAGAAGAAGCGTTCCTCTGGTATAAGGCCGCCCACACAGTGGCTCACAGGATGGTTGCAGAGCCAGAGTTCAGACCTAAGGGGAGGGGGCTCACCTAGCCAGTGGCCACTGTTCGACAAAGAACCTGAGGCAGCAGGACCAGGGAAGACCAGCCACAAAAACGAGAGCATAGAGTAAAATCACCTTACAATAAACCAGTTGCCATTGAGTCAATCCCAACTCATGGTGACCCTACGTGTTTCAGAGTAGAACTTGCTTCATAGGGTTTTCAATGGCTGTGACTTTTGGACATAGGTTGCCAGGCCTTTCTTCTGAGGCGCCTCTGGGTAGATTCGAACCTCCGAACTTTCGGTTAATAGCCGAACGCTTAACCATTGGTGCCACCCAGAGACTCCTAATATGATATTAGGTCTGAGTATTAAAATCCTCTTTAGAACATGACATTTGTTTTAAAGACACTTCATCTTTTTCTTTGGCTCAAATTAACAGAAGCCCTGAGGGTGCGGCCCCACTTACTTGCCGGTTCAGCCTTATGGAGAGGATGTTGCTGGAGTAGCTGTAATTACAGATCTCTGTGCCTTTCTTGAAGTGATACACATTCATCTGCCTCGGTTTAACGTGACTGACCACCACCACCAGGCTGCTGGAGAAGAGGCGCTCGACGATGTAGACGTCCGGGATTTCATCTGGGAGGGAAAGAGGCAGTGGGGTTACAGGCTTGCTCTCTGGGAAGAAAGTTCCCGTGGCCACAGCACGAGCACGGCTTATGCCGGCTTATGAACTTTCTCTAGCACTGCTGACTGGATGGGCTCTGTTAGTTGCGTTTCAATGACTCTTTTTTTCCACAGTGGAACTTTAACTGTTTCCTGAGGCAGCAGTTCCAAAGCCCTCTCCAAATACCAACAGTAAAGAAAATCCTTGTGTGGACTAGTGACTTAAACACCGAGTCAGGATTTCCAGAGCTACCGCTGACGCCCGCTGCGTTTCTGGGCCCCTGGAATCGCCCCTTCAGGGCCCTATGGCTCCACTGCTTTGTAAAACACATTTGGAAGGTTTAAACCTATTGCCGTCAAGTCAATCCCAACTCATAGGGAGTCTATAGGACAGAGTAGGACTGCCCCATAGGGTTTCCAAGGAGTGGCTGGTAGATTCAAACCACCATCCTTTTGGTTAGCAGGCGAGTTCTTAACCAGTGTGCCACCAAGTCTCACTGGAAGGTTTGGACCATCTAAATCTACACTTCCCTGTGAGAGAATCTGAAAGGAGTGATACTCTGCTGGGGGCGTCGGTTTTCAGAATTCCTCTTGTCCCCATTGCAAAGAAGGGGACTGCCATGGGGAACGGGTAGTTACATAGGGAGTTCTCTTCTCCACTGGTCTTGCTGTGCTCCCCGCTCCTCTCTGGATTCCCTTCCCTGTTGGAAACAATCTGAACATCAGCACTGCGACCAGAAGAGTACTTCTGAATTCAGGAAGGACGCAGTCAAGAAAGCCTCTTGAGTAACGACAGGTTGCAGCCTGTCTCTTTCTGAGAACATGCTTTTCATATGTGTGTTCACGCAAGGAACAACACAGGTCAGAACAGAGCAAAAAATAGTCGTGAAAATAAACTAAGACCCTACAAATAAATTATTGTTGTTAGGTGCAGTCAAGTAGATTTTTGATTCATAGCAACCCAGTGTGACAGAGTAGAACTGCCTCATAGGGTGTTCTTGGCTGTAATCTTTAAGAAAGCAGATCACCGGGTCTTTTTCCTGTGGAACCACTGGGTGGGTTTAAACTACCCAACTTTTTGATTAGCAGCTGAGCACTTAACCACTGCACCACCAGGGCTCCTTAAATAAGTTTGGAGCCCATTATATTATTTACCAAACCACTTTCTTTCTAGAAAATCCAAAGGTGGTACATTTTTCAATATTATGTTGGCATAAGCTATTACTTATCCAGAGAAAATAAGAGAGTTACATTTCTAAGTTCAATTATTTTTAATATTAACTAAAGTACTTCAACGTCTTTGAGATGGACTACGTAAATAGAATAGCATTATTTTATTAAAATAAGAGAAATACTTCCGTGACCAAGTGTCTGTTACCAGTATCCTAGAGTGCCAATATAATGGCAAAAAGAAGTCACTAGTGAGCTTTTGGGTTGATAATTTATAAAAATTGATGACTGTGCATATATGTATATGGAAAAATTGTCAACAACATGATTTCAAAGGATTTCAGGATATAAAAGAAAATGTTACCTAAATGATTGCTACATTTTAGCAGTTTCGCCATGGCTTTTTAAGCAAGTGGAGGCAATGGTTTATATTTAAATCCAAAAAACACTGACTCCTTAAAGTGTGACGGGCCAGGGAGGGAAAAGCAGAATGCTCAGCAGCACCATAGCGTAAAAGCTAGAGGGGGGATTTGGGGTTCCCCAGATCCCCACACACTTACTGCTTCCATGGACTTGGTCCAGTTGCTCCACAGAACTCAAGGAAAACAGCTTATAACCGGCCTTTGTTCCAATTGCTAGGGATCTGTGGAAGGTATGACAGCAAACGAACGATAACATTACTGTATTCCAACTACAAATCTGTCGGAAAATAGACACCCCTTTCCTTCTGCTCCCCCACGTCCCTGATGCCTCATTTTTCCAGATGCTGTTGAGTCGATTCCGATTCATGGTGACCCCGTGTGTGCAGAGTAGAAATGTGCTCCATAGGGTTTTCATGGCTGTGATGTTTGGGAAGCAGTTGGCCAAGCCTTTCTTCTAAGGCACTGCCAGGTGGTTTTGAACCATGAACCTTTCAGTTAGTTGCCAAGAGCAAACTGTCTGCATCACCCAGGGACCTGCAGTAGGCATGTGGTTGTTGTTAGTTGCCGGAGAATTGATTCTGACTCATGGTGACCCCACGTGTGCAGAGTAGAACAGCTTCATAGGGTTTTCAACGCTGTGACCTTTGGGAAGCAGACTGCCAGGCCTGTCTTCTGAGGTGCCTCTGGGTGGCTTTGAACCACCAACCTTTCAGCTAGCAGTGGAGCGCTTAACCATTTGCACTGCCCAGCCCCCTATAGTAGGCATGTTGTTTGTTGTGTGCTGTCAAATTGATTGACTCACAGCGACCCTATAGGACAGAGTAGAACTTTCCCATAGGGTTTCCAATGCTGTAAATCTTTACGGAAGCGGACTGCCACATCTTTCTCCCATGGAATTCGAACCACCAGCTTTTCTGTTAGCCACCGAGCGCTTAACCACTGCACCATCGGGGCTCCTCTAATAGGTGAAATTAGTCAATGTTACCTTTCATCAGTTTAAAAGCCATGAAAACATCCTGGGTACTTTACACTAGTAACTCTCACCTGGGGGAGCTTAATAAAATACCAATGACTGTCTACCCTGTCCCCCAGCCCCAAGATTTTCACTTAATTGGATTTTTCTTTAAGTTCTTCAAGTACTAATATACAGCTAGGGCTGAGACCTCTGCTATATACTCTGTTTTATAAAACTATCATCACAACCAACCAACAAAGCAAAAATTAAACATTTATCTGGGACAATGTGGGCTAAAAAAAAGATCTAGTATTCCTAATTTTTCACTTTCAACCAATAGATATAGGCACAGTGGGAACCCGGATCTCCCTGGCCTTGTGATGGAATCAACTTAGTTCAGCAGCGGGGGTAGGCCAGGGCCTCTGGGGATCCCACCTAGCTCCCTCCTGCTTTGCTTTCAACACCTAGGCAATGGACCACACCTTAAATGGAGCCCACTCCGAATAAGCAGTCCGATCCTGAGTCCTGCCACCCTAGGAAAATGGGAGGTCAGAGGGGACACAAACCTTAACATGTAAACCAGTCCACCTTCCACATTTCAAATGAATACATGAAAAGGTGAGATTGTACTTCCCGGGGAAACATATCCTAAAATAAGAAACTTACTAGTCCAAGCCTGGCTGGCCAGGGCTCTTGTTTCACTAACCTAAAAAACAGAAGGTCACATGTTTATCCCTGGCTTTTTTTTTTCCTACCCAAACATTTGTTCTTCTATGGGACACAGTCATAGGTGACTCTAGTCCACTCTTAATCAGTGAGCTGGCTGGTTCGGTTGCTTGGCCCTCCACCTGCCGAGCAGTTAAACTGGAGTGTTAGATATTTGCATAAAACAGCAGCTGTGCAGTTACAACTGGGGTTTGGCATCCAGCACCACCAACGACAAACAGCGACGGGAACAGCCAGCCAGCAGCATCTTAAAACTCCAAGCCAGACACTGTTTTTAAACTTCCTTTACATAAACGTTTTCATGTAAACGAAGACGCTTTTTGTTGCAAACCGGGATTTGGAAAGTTTGCAAGTCAAGGAAAAACACCTCTGTAACTAGAGTCATATAACATTAACCAAAAGAGTTAGCAATTTAATTTCCAAACATAAGCCCTGCTCCTGGCACAGAGAAGTTTCATATGAAAAAATGGCAGTGTGGTCACTATTATTGTTTTAAATGACCGATCAGTCACCACAAAAGATTATGACTCTGAATCAAGGAATTCAGACACAGACCTATTTTATCCATAAGGCTTTCTATAGGGAAAAAAAAAAATGTCACTTCTCATGGGAAGGTGTCTCAGGGTTTGGGACAAATACATATTATTAACCAAATGAAAAAATGTCCCTAAATTGTTTAGTCCAGTGCCAAGCATGAAGTATGAATATAGGAGCTTGGTAAAGGTTAGCTGCCTTCATCCACCTCCAGAAATACTAGATCCCAAACTCAGCCGACGCGTATAGAAAAAAACACTGATACCCCTGAATGTATTTGCCAAGGGGCTTGACTTGTCTTAAAATTCAATGTCATACCCTCTGAGGCTCAAAGCAACTGCCTGTGACAAGAACTTTTATTTATAGTTAAGACAGAGCTGCCCGGCAGAGCCTTCATCCAAGAAAACAGAACTAAGCAAATTAACTTTCAAACCACTCTACAGTTTGGAAAATAACATTCTCATCCAGTTGCTATGGACAGCTGGGACTTACTCTGCATTATTTAATAACCAGAGCTAAAATTAGCCTTACTTTTTAAAAATCTGATAAACAATGCTACAAAGCAGAATTTAGAACATTTACTACTAGAAAACAAACTAACTCCCTCTTTAACCTGTGTTGACTTGGGAAAGAAAATAGCCGCCAGGCATTTCAACAGTCATACCTTCTTGCAAAATGTTTCTTACAAAACATCAGAATTTTATCCAGACATCATTTTTTAAAGTGCAGGTCTCAACCCCGGAATGGATTCTAAAAACAATTTAGTGGCACACAAGCAGCTTTAGAAAAAGACAATACCAAAATGTGTCACATAATAAAGGTAAATGCTATTTTGTGGATCGCTTTTCAGTGATATTATATGTAAATGGAGCCCTGGTGGCGTAATGGTGCAGTGGTTAGAGTGCTCAGCTGCTAGCTGAAAGGTCACCAGCTGCTCTGCAGGAGAAAGATGTGGCACTCTGCTCCTGTAAAGATTACAGCCTTGGCAGCCCTATGGGGAGGTTCTCTGTCTTACAGGGTCGCTGTGAGTCACAATCGTTTGGTTGTTTCATTTTTTTTGTATGTAAATGGGGGTAGAGTGCTGTTGCAATCTGTATTTCTCACTATGAGATGTGGTCAAGAAAAGCTTGAAAGCCACTCATCTTCCCAAGCTGTGCAGCGGCTCAATTATACGATTACAGATACAGTTTTTCCAAACAAAGGCATATTGTTCAGCACAGGGTGTTTTTAAACAGAAACACAAAGCAAATGGTTGCTAAGGTTGCTTATGGGATAGGACGGCCTTAATTACACCAGCGAATGTTCAATATTAGCACAGCTCAGTCACACGCAGCCAAGGCACAAGCGGGAAACAGACTCCAAACAGGGAACACAACAGAAACTGGTACAGCAGGAAGGGGGAGACTGGGAAGCTGTCATCCCAGCCTGATGCTCCGGGTACGCATTCCAAGGAGGTTATTTCATACGGTCTGAGGGCTCACTTCTAGCAATTTCATGAAAAGAGGGAAGTAAAAAGGCCTTAGCTTAGAGACAGGGAATCCTTGGGAAGCCTGAACCACAGTTCAGCAACACCCAGCTTTCTGGCCAAAGTCCAAATGTGAACATCAAAATGAGACATTAAAAATCCACTGGAAAGCAACAGGCTGGTGCTCATCCCTCCCGGAGACATGGTTTGGACCAGGGAAGGGCTCTTTTGACTCCAGGGAGGAGGTTCAGCCTGACTGGGTGGGATATGTGGAAACAGCCAGAGAAATCGCAAGGTTCTTTACATCCAGGGTGCAGGCAGGCAAAATGCCCTGGGCTGGGGCTGGGACAGGGGCTGGCCTGGCCAAGGGGATAGGCTGCCTTTGTCCCAGGCCCTGCCCAGATGCCACGTTGAGATGCTCAAGGACAAATGGGAAAGTTTCTTCTTTACTCCCACCTCCCTGGGCCGCGGCTATAACTTCTCGGGTCAACTTTCCGCTTCCCCCTCCCCTCCCGTCCCCTTTGTTGTGGCCGTGACTTCTCCTCTCTAGACCCCCACCTTGGTCACCCGCTTTTCCGCCGCCCCCATACCCCTTAGCCTCCCTGCACCCCACTCTCTGTGCTGACTCCCTTCCTTCATCCTTGGCTCGCCCCTCCTGGCTCTCCGCCCGCGGTCGAGGGGTGCTGGGTGAGCCCCTCACAGCGAGGGAAAAGAGGAGAAAGAGGGGGAGGGGGTAAAAAGACCCGAACCCGTCCGATCAGCCACTGGCCGTCCTGCCGAGGAACTTCTGGGTAGGAGAACCGCGCCAACCCCCACCCCTCGGTCGGTCGCGACATCCCCCACCCCCGACCACGGCAGGGCTGGCGCTCAGCTTACGTGCAGTCCTGGTTGAAGGAAAAGCAAGTGAGTGGCGGATCGATCCCGCCCGGGGGAGCGTCCGCGGCCTCGGCCGCCATCGGGTCTCGACCCGGCGAAGCCGCAGCTCCGGGCCGGCGACAGCCACCTCAGCAGCCGCTCGCGCCGGCTCCGAGGGCCGGTCGCCGGCCAACCCCCCGCCTCTAGCCCCGCCCCGCCCCCTGCTTCGCCACGCCCCTTGTGCCTGTCCCGCCGAGCCAAGGCGCGGACAGGGCGGGGCCCGCGCTGCCCGGCCACCATTGGTCACAAGTGCACGCCGTGGGGGGCGGGCACTGCTCCCTTGGCCAATCCTCCGCAACCGTAGGCGGAACCTCCGCGCTGGCGACCCGACCCCAGCCCCCCCAGACGGCTGGCCATTGGGCAAAGGTGCGTGACGTAGAGGCTACAGGCCACGTGGTGGTGTTTTCATTGCCATTGTGGGCCTGGGGAGGGGGAGAAAGAGCTAGGGAGGCTGAGTCCAGACCTGCTGGCGGTGGTCCAGCGTCTTCGTCGGGGCCGGAGCAGAGGGGACAGGCGGAAGCGCTGTTTTCCATTCCACCCAAACTCCTGTCGTATGTGACTCTGTGTATATTAAGCTTCTTAGGGGAGCAAGCAGAGTTCCGTAGGGAGCTTCAGACGCCAAAGCCCCACCCTTTTGTAGAGTCTTCAAGCTGCTTTGAGAAAAGTTTCTAAAACAGGATGCTAAGGCCAAACAGATAAGAAGTTATCTCATCCATTGCCCTGACGTTGAGAACTGCTACTACGTGCCAAGCGCTGTATTAACTGTATATATTATCTCGTTGAATTCGTAGAAAAACAAAAACAAAAAACTGTGAGCAAAATATTATTTCCAATTTACAAAAGAGGCCACTGAAGCATGGAACGTTAAATAATTTTCCTAAAACAACACAGTATATGGTAACGTGTTTTGTTTGATTTCAAAACCCGTGAACCCAATGACTCTGCTAAACAGTATTTGGCGAGACCTATCTGATCTGTAGGTGAAAAAATGAAACAAAATATGTATAAGAAGGTGTATTTTATGAAAAGGGATGTAGTCTTGAATACTCGGCACAATTCAAAACTCACATTTGAGATAAATCTTGACAAGGAATTTCTGTTCCCAAGCTAAATGCATGTTGCCATGTAGAATTAACCATGAACACAGTTTATGAATTAGCTACTCTTCCAGCTTTGAATTTATATGATGCTTGTGGAATTTTTAATTCATGTCTTTTCAAATTTTGTAGATATTTTCATTGTTGTTATACCACAGCACTTCAAATTGGCGTAATTCAAATTTACTTAATTTGTGACCAAGCTATATATGTTTTGGAACCTAGAACGGACAAGCAAAGGGTACTATTTCACTTAAGCTTTTTGAGTTGGATTTCCGGTTTTGGTCTTCTGAGATGCAAATATAGCAGTTTCTTCTCTCAAGTCTATTTTTCTTTCTCTTAACTGATGTAAAAAATAGTTCAGCTCATAAATCCACAGATATTGATTACCCTTTAGTTGCTTGTGAGGTATTGTAAGCCACTGTAAGTGAAAAGAACTGTTGTTTGTATGTTTTAACTGCATCAGCTTTGCCACCTCTCAGATCAAAGGTGCTCGCCTCTCCCGATGCTCCCAGCTCAGCCAAATGCTGCAGTCCTTTCTGTTCCATTTAGAAAACCACGATTCTGGAATGTTTGGTGCTGAACAATTGAGAGAATTGCATAAGGTAATATACACAAAGTGCATAATAAGGCTTTTAAAGTAGAAGCTGTTGTTTTCGATAGTTTGGACTTTATGTTGATAGTTGGTAGCTGGTGTTAGCTTTCTAGCAGGAGTGTTTTGTGATAAAAACAGTGTTCTAGGCAGATAGACTAAGCTAGTGTGTGCAGAACAGATTAAAAAAAACCCAAAAAAACCAAAACAACCAAACCCATTGCCACTGAGATAGCGACTCTATAGGACAGAGTAGAACTGCCCCACAGGGTTTCCAAGGCTGAGATCTTTACAGAAGCAGACTGCCACATCTTTCTCTTGCACAGCAGCTGGTGGGTTTAAACCACCAGCCTTTTGATTAGCAACTGAGTGCTTACCCACTGGACCACCAGGCCACCAATCGTTACAGATTACCAAAAACCTGTTGCCCTCGAGCTGACTCTGACTCACAGGGACCCTACAGGACTGAGTAGAACTGCCCCGTAGGGTTTCCAGGAAGTGGCTGGAGGATTCAAACTGCCAACCTTTTTGTTAGCAGCCATGCTCTTAACTATTGTGATACCAGGGCTTTAGGGGACTAACGTGAAATTCTAGAAGCGAAGGGATATGAAAGCCTAGGCTAGTGTGATGGCAGCAGGACCAGAAAGCTTTGGGCGAATCCAAGAGATGTTTTGAGGCAGTGCTGGCCAGCAGAAAGGAAATGCGCACTGCAGATGGGAGCACCATATGTAATTTTAACTTTTCTAGAAGCCGCATGAGAAATAGTAAAAAGAAACAGGCAAATTAATGTTAATAATGTTTTATTTAACCCAGTATATAAAATTTTTTTGTCATTTAAATGGGCAATCAATATAAAATCAACATATAAAAATCAATATAAAATTAAGAATGAGCTAAACCCGTTGTCATTGAATCTATTCCAACTCACAGCCACACTGTAGGGCAGAGTAGAACTGTCCCCATAGGGTTTCCAAGGAGCAGCTGGTGGATTCCAACTGCCAACCTTTTAGTTAGTAGCAGAGCTCTTAACCACTGTGCCACCAGGGCTCCTAAAAAAAGACATCAATATAAAATACATAAAATCAATATGAAAATTATTAATAAGCTAGTTTATTTGTAGATATTTTTGAGTACTAATTGTTCAAAATCTGATGTGTAATTTTCACTTACACCATACCTCACTGGCTACATCTGAAGTGCTCATGTGGCTGGTGGCTCCCGTGTTGCCCAGTGCGGGGGTTTTGAGGGAATAAACAGCAGGGCGTGGTGACTGATGGGATGGGAGGGCGGGTGGCAGGGAAGAAGGGGGAAGAGTCAAAGCTGATGCCTTGGTTAGGAAGTGGGAAGTCCATAGTGTTGCTCTCAGAACCCAGAAACCAGCAGGGATTTAGGAAGATGTACAGTGAAACCTGTGAGAGCCGGAACTGGACAGGACCACCCTGGGTCTTGAAAGTTTTCCGCCTTTGACAAGATACAGTCTTACCACTTTTCTATCACTCCTACCAAACCAAAAACCAAACTCATTGCCGTGGGGTCGATTCCGACTCATAACGACCCTATATCGACCCTATAGGACAGAGTAGAACTGCCCCATACGGTTTCCAAGGAGCTCCTGGTGTATTTGAACTGCTGACCTTTTGGTTAAGAGCTCTTAACCACTGTACCACCAGGGTTTCCCTATCAGTCCTAGTGGAAAATGTTTGAATTTTCCTCCTCTGACACGTTTCCACCTTACACAGTTCTGGCTTTTGCAGGTTTTACTGTATTTAGTTTCAGACATGTCGAGGTAGCGGAACTGAATGTTCCCCGGAATGAAGATTCAGGCCCTTCCTGCAACTCTGCCCCCCCGGATGTTTCCTGCTGCGTTAACGCCGCTGCCCAACCTGGTTTTATTTTTTTCCCTAAGACAATACAGAAATCCGTGTTTTTATGTAAGAATTAAAAATGTTGACAACTAATTCTTATTTTTAAAAGACACCATGTGGGCCAAACTAAATATTTCTACTGGTTGGATGTGGTTTGTTGAGGGCCAGTTTGTAACCTTTGTCAGGTAGAGGCTTACACATTCACTTTGACAGGTTCCACCCTCAAAATGAAACAAAAAACCACAAGAAGTCCATTCATATAAAAAGCCAAAAAAAAAAAAAAAAGTTATAAAAAGAAGTACTGAATTCATTTGCTGTCAGGCTGTTTGTTTGTTTTATTGTTTTTTTTATTTCTAGTTCCGAATTCTATGGGAGGGGAAACTCCTCACCTGAATGTTGGGCTTAGGGCATCCTCATGCTTCCATGTTCTTGGAACAGAAAATTTCTCTGCTAAATAACAATGACAAAGGATATTGGGGAAAACAAAACAAAACAAAAACACACACTACAATATAAACAAGATCTCGGCTTCTTCTCCTTCTTCCAATTGAAATTCCTAAATTTCTATCTTTTCTCAGAAAAACGTCCATGACTTCTAGAGGAAACAGTAAATGAGCAAAATCTGGGAGGCTAAAGCTGAACTCTGGGAATGAAACATCCTTGGTAATATGACATTGCAGGCCACAATTCAGCCAATGGGAAGACTCCCTATTTGTGTAACAAGCAGGCTGTCATTTTAAAATGCTGATTAGGACATGCACAGGGCATTAGCAGGGGAAGTTGGAAATGAGACATCCTGTCTGATGCAACCCTCTTGTCACCAGATGTGGTTGCCCGTAACACCCAGCCGCCTATAATTAGAGTAACTACTAGGTGAACAGGCACCACTCTCGTCTTCTTTTTTAAAAAAAACCCTTCTATTTTATAAAGCCAGCCAAAAAAACCAAACCAAATCCATTGCTGCTGAGTTGATTCTGACTCATAGCAACCCTATAGGACAGAGTAGAACTGCCCCATAGGGTGTCCAAGGAGCAGCTGGTGAATTCGAACTGTCGACCGTTTGGTTAGCAGCCAAGCTCTTAACCACTGTGCCACCAGGGCTGCTTATAAAACCAAGTCACAGGAAATAATCTCCTTTTTCTGTTCTGAAATGTCTCGACCCTCAGAACTTGGACTGAGGAAGAGGTGAACCATAATGGACAAGTGTAAGGTAGTACTTTGAGACGGGGGAAGGGGGAAGGGCTTGGGGACAGTAGAGACTAGATAAGATTGGGGACGAGGGGAAAGAAAGGGTGTTGTGTCGTATCTGAAGGAAGCTGAAGGAGTCCGCCTGATAGTTCCAGAGTCAAAGGGGAGGGTTGGGCTTCGGGGTGATTTCTGGGAAAGGTGATGATGATTCCCGGTTGGCAAACAGGAAAGTCCCAACCAGAGCAGGCTGATCAACGGGCACAAGTGGGCTTTTTTGTTTTGTTTTGTTTCTAATCATATGCTCCGTCTGCTGTGAATACACAGCTCCTACTAATTGCTCTTCCTCCCCAAATGGAACCATTCTTTCTGATTATATTATATATTATCTATAACATTCCTCACAAGAGTAAGAAACGGTGTTTCGCTGAAGAGTGTAACTGGTGTCTTTGTTTTTATTCTCTTCCCTCATCCATCTGCCTTTTTTTGTTTCCAGATTACTCTTCCGAAAACACATGGCAAATCACAGGTTCTCGATAAATACTTGCCGATTGGCTGCTATTCATTCAGGAAGACAGTAGCTTCCTACCTGTGAATTTGCCAACATACCTGGTGCTAAGGTAGACAGTGAACATAGATTCGAATCATGGAGTCTGTGTTTCCTAGCACACCTGAAGTCCAGCTGGGAATAGACAGGAGGACTCTACAGGTCAGCCAATCACTCGGACTCAAGTTTTCGAGTTTAACTCTAGGTGGTGTACGGGAACCGGAAATACAGCTTTACAGAAGGCTGAGCTTGGAGCACTACACATTTTCTCATTTAATGCTCGCTACATCTGTCTGCTCCAGGAGTTTTTATCCCCATCCCACAGATGGGTAAACCAAAGTCGAGA